TTAGGGTCTGTGTTACAGCGGTGGGGAGTTTAGGGTCTATGTTTCAGTGGTGGAGAGGTTAGGGTCTGTGCTTCTGTGATGGGCGTGTGGGGTCTATGTTTCTGTGATGGGGAATGTGGGTCTGTTATTCATTTGTTGTGTCACTTCTGGTATTAATGTGTTATGCGTAATGAGTTGTGGGTGCAATAGCAGTAAGGAGAGAGGGGTGAGAGGTGTTCCCCTCATCATTGGGGCCATACTGCTCTTGTTGGGAGTGGGTAGCAGCAGTTCAATGGCTTCAGGCTAACTCTCATCAATCCTGTTCCTATGGGTTAGTAATGAATTATGTTTGTTACTGTTCAAGGAACAGGAAACCCCTGCTGTACTATTCTCATTAAACCATCTGTTCTCTCCATCAGGCAAGCAGAAATGTGACCACAGTTTCCCTTCAATATAGGCAGACAGTCGTAAGCATACACACACACACAGACACAGACATACACACACTCGCGTGTGCACACACACACAGTTACACACTTATATACACACTTACACAGGCACACATAGGTACAAAAACCTGCTCCAACATCAGCCTCACACTTCAACACTTTCTGCCCAATGGAGGAGCCCAACCTCAGTGAGGTTCGGTCTCCAGCATAGCAACACAGACAATACACTTGCTAAGTAACATCACATTAGCACGAAGTGTAATGTTTCTTCGTATACAGAAACTGGAGCAATTCAAGCCTCCCACACCACCAACTATTTCCCTTAAATGCTGAGATACTGTGTTGACAGATTGGAGCCTGAGTCCCATTTGCACTCCCTCTGGCAATTCTCACTTCAGCTCAGTGACTCAGTAGTGGCTGGACACACTCAATTTGAGCGGAGTCCGGTGATACCCACTGATGTTACAGATTGGGACTGAGCTATCACCTCCGCTGGCTGCGAAGGTGAATGTGACTGAGAGCCACTGGCCCCGTAAAGCTCTCTTGCAGATGCCTGCCTTTCGGCTCTGCAGGGTTCTGCCACTGTGTGCACTATTCAGTCAGCCTGCAGGAATCCTTTGTTCTGGTCTGAGCCATGATCTCATTCGCGAGGCACGACTGTCTCCTGCCACTTGCAGCCAGAATGAGCTCAGGAGAAGTTGTGGCCTGGTCCAGTAACTACATCTGCTCTCAATCAGCTGTGCTGGCTCAGGCTGAAGGCTGTGCAGCCAGAAGCCTCTTCGCCAATGCAAAGTTTCATTGATAACTTCCCTCACTGAGTGGCTAAAGACTTAACGGTGAAGACTCGCAGGCTGAGATTCGTCTCTCCAGAGGTCTTTAAAGTTGTGATGGGGTTTAACAAGGTCAATGTAGAGAGAATGTTTCTCTAACTAAAGGGATTTTCAATTTCTTTTTCTTTTATGGGGAGATGCGTGCTGCTGGCTACAACAGAATTTATTCGCCATCTTGAAGAGCCATTGAGAAGATAATGGTGGTACATACAAACATACAAACTGGGAGAATTGGCCAGTCAGCCCTTAGAACCTATTCTGCCACTCCCTTAGATCATGATCAATATGATCTCTTTGTGCCCTCAACTCCACTTTTGCACCAACTCTTGATAACATTCAGCACCGCTGTTAATCTGGTTGGTGAGCCTCAATCTTGAATGGCTGCATCTCTTGTGTTACATATAGCCCCACAGTGCCCTTAGGGAGGGAGTTCCAGGATTTTGACCCAGCCATAGCGAAGGAACGGCGATATATTTTCAAGTGGAAATGGTGAGCGGTTTAGAGGGGGAGTTGGTGTTCCCATGTATCTGCTGCACTTGTCCTTCACGGGTTGGGAACTTGCTGTCAGAGGCTTCTTGGTGATTGTTGCAAAGAAAATCTTATAAAACCTGACCGGGAGTTCAGGGGAAACCGTTTTGACCGAAGCATGCTCAGAGTGTGGAACTTCCAACCAAAAGGAGACACAGAGGCAAAGAGTGTACATGCATTTAAGGGAAAGGGGAAAAAAAAAGAAATTGGTTGCAAAGTGTTTTTGGGATGTCCTGCGATCGCAAATGATGTCTCATGTAAAGATTGGCTAAGCCAGGCCTGAATGAAAAGCCTGTGATCAGTCTACCTGGATATTGTCAAGTTTGATCAGTAAGGGGATAAAGGGTTATGGAGAGGAGGCAGGAAAATAGGGTTGAGAAATGTATCAGCCATGATCAAATAGCAGAGCAGAGTCGATGGGCTGAATGGTGTAATTCTGTTCCTATATCTTATGGCCTTCTCTACTCAGTGTGGAGTTTCTGCTCTGACTGTTCACATTTTAAAAAGATAAAAGCAGGAAGACCTGCTTTTTACACAGCACCTTTCACAACAGAAGGATGTGTCGCAGCATTTCACAGCTAGTGAAGGACTTCTGAAGTGTAGTCACCGCTGTAATATAGAAAATGCAGCTGCCAATTTACACACAGCAAGCTCCCACAAAGAGTAGTGAGATTATGACCAGATAATGTGGTTTCACGTTGTGGATTCAGGAATTTACAGTAACCAGAATCTCATGAAGAATTACCCTGATCCCCTTCAAAATGGTGCACTGGGACTGACTCAAGGCAGATGTGGCCCCAGTTTAAGGTCTCATCTGAAGCACTTTTGACAGTGCGGCACTCCCTCAGTACTGTCCCTCCTACAGTGCAGCACTCCCTCAGTACTGACCCTCCTACAGTGCAGCACTCCCTCAGTACTACCATCTGACAGTGCAACACTCCTTCCATACAAGTTGCTGGTGTGAGAATTGAACACAGAACCTTAAAACTGAGAGGTGACAGGGTGCCAACTGCACTTGAGTTAAGTAAACTGTTGTTGTTCATCATCAGGAGCCCCACATGAGGGCACAGTCTGGTCAGCAGGGAGCGAGGTGTAGGATTGTCCTGTACTGGTTGGCAGGGTGTGGGATTGTCCTGTACTGGTCAGCAAGGTGTGCGATCATACTATACTGGTCGGCAAGGTGTGGGCCTGCCCTGTGCTGGCCAGCGAGGTGTGGGATCGTCCTGTGCTGGTCAGCGAGGTGTGGGATCATCCTGTGCTGGTCAGTGAAGTGTGGGATCGTCCTGTACTGGTCAGCAAGGTGTGGGATCATACTGTACTGGTTGGCAAGGTGTGGGATCATACTGTACTGGTTGGCAAGGTGTGGGATTGTCCTGTACTGGTCATCAAGGTGTGGGACTGTCCTGTACTGATCAGCAAGGTGTGGGCCAGCACTGTACTGGTCAGCGAGGTGTGGGACTGTCCTGTACTGGTCAGCAAGGTGTGGGCCAGCACTGTCCTGGTCAGCGAGGTGTGGGACTGTCCTGTGTTCGTCAGCGAGGTGTGGGACTGTCCTGTACTGGTCAGCGAGGTGTGGGACTGTCCTGTACTGGTCAGCGAGGTGTGGGACTGTCTGGTTCTGTTCAGCAAGGTGTGGGATCATACTGTACTGGTCGGCGAGGTGTGGGATCATCCTGTGCTGGTCAGCGAGGTGTGGGATCGTCCTGTAATGGTCAGCAAGGTGTGGGATCGTCCTGTAATGGTCGGCAAGGTGTGGGCCTGCCCTGTATTGGTCAGTGAGGTGTTGGATCGTCCTGTACTGGTCAGCAAGGTGTGGGATCGTCCTGTTCTGGTCAGTGAGGTGTGGGATCGTACTGTACTCGTCAGCAAGGTGTGGGACTATCCTGCACTGGTCAGCGAGGTGAGGGACCATCCTGTACTGGTCAGCGAGGTGTGGGGTCATCCTGTACTGGTCAGCGAGGTGTGGGCCAGCCCTGTACTGGTCCACAAGGTGTGGGACTGCCCTGTCCTGGTCAGTGAGGTGTGGGATCATACTGTACTGGTCAGCGAGGTGTGGGACTGTCCTGTACTGGTCAGCGATGTGTGGGATCGTACTATATTGGTCTGCAAGGTGTGGGATCGTCATGTACTGGTCAGCAATGTGTGGGACTGTCCTGAACTGGTCAGCGAGGTGTGGGATCGTCCTGTACTGGTCAGCAAGGTGTTGGATAGTCATGTACTGGTCAGCAAGGTGTGGGATCGTACTGTACTGGTCAGCGAGGTGTGGGATTGTACTATATTGGTCAGCTTGGTGTCGGCCTGCCCTGTACTATTCAGCGAGGTGTGGGCCTGTCATATACCTCGATCAGATCCTGGTTGAACTGTGCTAGCAGGCGGGCAGTGCTCAGGTCTCTCTTGCGGCTCTGGGACAGCTCTTTAATCCGATTCCTCCTCTCCAGGATGGTGTCGAGCTTCTGCTGGATGGAACTGGCCTCTTCACGTTTTAAACTTTCTTCTTTCAGCTTACCCGCCTGTTCCTGCAGTGACATCACCTGAAACAACACAACACAAGTCAGGAATGTGATGGAATACTCCCCACTTGCCTGGACGAGTGCAGCTCCAACAACACTTGAGAAGCTTGACACCATCCAGGACAAAGCAGCCCGCTAGATTGGCACCACATCTACAAGCATTGACTCTCTCCACCACCGCTCAATATACACTGCTGCTACTATCTACAAGATACACTGGAGATTCACCAATGATCCTTAGACATCACCTTCCAAACCCACAACCAACCATGAAAGGACAACAGCAGCAGATGCATGGGAACACCAGCCCCTGTAAGTTCCCCTCCAAGCCACTCACCATCCTGACTTGGAAATATACCACTGTTCCTTCACTGTTGCTGGATTAAAATCCTGGAATTCCCTCCCTCACAGTATTGTGGATCAACCGACAGCAAATGGACTACAGCAGTTCAAGGAGGCAGCTCACCACAACCTTCTCAAGGGCAATTAGGGACGGGCAATAAATGCTGGCCCAGCCAGCATCTCCCATGTTCCACGAGAGAATCAAAGAATCTGTTTGGAGCAGTAGCTAATGCAGGGAAACCATGGAGCTTGAGACCTCATCACAGACACACATGCATGATGTAGTTCCATCTTCATCATGTTTGGGATGTGGGTATCCATGGAAAGACCAGCACTTATTGCCCAGCCTTCATAAAGGGCTGCTTTCCTGAACCACAGCTGCAACTGAGAATTGCTAAGCAATTTCTGGAAACTGTCAAATGCCAAAGATGTAGGTGTGAGACTTCATTCCTATATAGGCCAGACCTAGTGAGAATGGCAGTGAATCTGTCTGGGCCTTAGCACAAACCAACAGCTTATCCTCAAGATGCTGACAATCCGTTCAGCTACCTCTGATGCACCCCTCTGTTCCATTACCGCACTGGGGCAAGTTTGCTCTCAAGATCCCACGTTTCCAGCCTTGAACTCTCACCTATTCTTAATTTCTCTGCCATTTCCCCTCGTGCCCTTTCCAAGATATTCAGAAGACCCTGTCCTCTCAAACAGCACCCCACAAAGTTACTGCACTCCCAGCTTCTCCTCCTGGTCTGCCACAATAGCTCATACTGTAAGTCTTTCTCTCACATTAGGTCATAGAGTCACACAGCACGGAAACAGATCTTTTGGTCCAACTGATCTGTGCTGACTAAGTTCCCCAAACTAAACCATTGGCCTGTATTTGGCCCATATTCCTCTATTCATATACCTGTCCAAATGTCTTTTAAATGTTGTAACTGTACCTGCATCTACCACTTCCTATAGCAGTTCATTCCACATATGAACCACCCTCTGTGTGAAAACGTTGGCCCTGAAGTCCCTTTTAAATCTTTCTCCTCTCATCTCATTTTGAACTCCCCCACCCTAGGGAAAAGACCTTTGCTGATCACCTTCTAAATGCCTCTTGTGATTTTGTAAACCTCTATAAAGTCACCCCTCAACCACCTACGCTGCATTGGGGAAAAAAGTCCCAGCCGATCCAACATCTCCTCATAACTGCCTTAGTCACTCCAAATTCCTTAACACAGACGGGCTCACCCTGAGAGTTAAACGCAGAGTGAGAACACATTCAAAAGTTAAACTCAGCCTGGTCCACTCACAGTTAAGTGCTGCCTGATTCTTTCAGAATTAAATTCTGCCCGAACCATGTTCTATTCTTATTGATCACTCTCAAGAGAGCAGCACTTCACCAAGGATGGGTGATAAGTGCTGGCCTTTCCGACGATACACCCAGTAAAAAAGACTAAACAAAAACCAAAGAACTGCGGAAGCTAGAAATGAGAAACGAAAACAGAAATTGCTGGAGGAACTCGGCAGGTCTGGCCACATCAGTGGAGAGAAAGCAGAGTTAGCGTCTTGGCATCCAGGGACCCTTCTTTAGAACTCTGCCTTCTCTCCACAGATGCTGCCAGACTGACCGAGTTTCTTCAGCAGTTTCTGTAAGAAAGAACTGGTGAGGGCTTCAAGATTTCAATGCATTAGCTGCTGCTTTTTTTTAATGTTTCATTCTAATTACAGTGCCCCACTCAGCTTCCAAATCTTTGTTACCTCTTTGTTACCTTTGATGGAGACAGCGTAGAAATAGCTTTACTTTGTACCTAACCCTGTGCTGTCCCTGTCCTGGGAGATTTTGATGGAGACAGCATGGAAATACATTTATTCTGTATCTAAATCTGTGCTGTCCCTGTCCTGGGACAGTTTGATGGGGACAGCGTAGAAATAGCTTTACTCTATATCTAATCCCGTGCTGCCGCTGTCCTGGTGTTTAATGGGGACAGAGAGCTCTACACTGAGCTGACAGTAAGTTTCTGAAATCCCTAAAACTGACACTCTTACCTCTTTCCTTTCACCCTCCTATTTAAGTTCGGGGACGTTCAGATCATTTACCTTGTCCTCCTGAGTCATGAGTAGCTTCTCGAAGGCCTCATGCCGTTTGATGAGGGAATCTACGGTGTCCACGGATGCTCCAAGTTCACTGGATCGCAGGTAAACCTGAAAGGGAAAGTGCGGTGACAGTCAGTGCTCAGATCAAATCAGCATTCCCACTCCTCGGGTACTGATGTACGCACTTCCAATCGATGGGGAGGAGCTAGCTTCGCGCTGTGATAGGTACAGTCACAAAGTATTCCACATGTCTTCCTTGCTGCGCTCATCATCCCATCCCAATAAGTCCAAGCGGCCCACAAAAATTTACCACCATTTCTCAGTATTCCAAATCTGGTTCAGTTTACACCCCAGATCGAGCACAGTCAGAGGGTTTCAGAAAGGGGAAAGCTTGACAGGCCAGCGGGGATGGGTATTTTCTGAAGGTCTGGGCTGAGGCAGAAAGGACAGGGAGCTTTACTCTGTATCTAATCTTGTGCTGCCCCTGTCCTGGGAGAGTGTGATGGAGACAGCGTAGAAATACATTTATTTTGTACCTAATCCCGTGCTGTCCCTGTCCTGGGAGAGTTTGATGGAGACAGCGTAGAAATAGCTTTACTCTATATCTAATCCCCTGCTGCCCCTGTCCTGGTGTTTAATGGGGACAGAGAGCTCTACACTGAGCTGACAGTAAGTTTCTGAAATCCCTAAAACTGACACTCTTAATTCTCACAAACACAAAAAAAACTCACAAAAGAGACGCTGATGGAAAGCAGGAAACAGAAGTGGTCATTTCCACAGCTCTCCCCGAGTGAGACAGCTACAAACAGGTCTGCAGCCTGCTTTCATGGAGGGGTTTACAATAAAGGGATATCTCCTAGTGAACAGGTTCTAACCTTCAGAAGGAAGCTGACGGATCTCCCAGAGGTGAGCTGGAGCACACTGGGCGAGGGGCTGTTAGCCTCCGTACAGGCAGGGTGGCGATGGATATCCAGCGGGTCACCGTCAGTGGTCCAGCGGCGCTCCTGACCACAGCATGTGCACTGTGCACGGGGGTTGGCAGCCTCGGGCTCATCCTCAGGAAGCGCCACGAAGGCGTGGGACGGGCAGCTGCTCCTGGTCTCCAAAGGCCCCTGGGCGCGAAGACGGGAGGTCCTGCTGCAGCTGGCATGCACCGGGCTCAGGCTGATGGAGAGCACGGGCCTGCAGAGGGCAGCGGGCGAGGGCTGGAAAACGCAGTTGAGAGTGCAGCCGGACGGGGCGCCATGCCACGGGTCTGGGCGAGGCTCGGGGGACCCTCGCAACACCAGCTGTGTCCGGGAGAAGCCAGGCGAAGAGGGGGCGGCCGCGGCGGGGACCACCTCCAGGGCCCGGGGGCTGCTGGCCGACTGGGAGCCTCCTGGCTGGGGGTGGCTCAGGGTGGGCACTGGCGCAGGGCGGCCGGAGGCTGGGGTAACCAGCAGGCTGCTGACCCGGCGGGCGGGCCCCGGCACAGGGGGCTGCCCGACCGGGGCGGGGAGCTCTGAAACCCCACCGGCCTCTTCCTTCCCCCCTACTGAGTGGGCAGTCGCTGCTGGGCCAGAGGGCGTGGCCCGGGCGGGGGCTGGCCCCCAGGGGTTGGGGGGGAGGCAGGGGGCCAGGGTGATGTCCATCCTGGAGACATGGCGGGCAGCAGGAGGAGGGGGCCCCGGCCCCGGCATGGCGGCCGTTCTCAGCCTGGAGACGGAGCGCACCAGGGCCGGTGTCCCCGGAGCGGCCGGACACAGCTTCGTGCACACGGTGAAGCGCTGCACTCTTCTGCTGCGCTCCTGGCCCGACATGCTCCCTCGCCCTTTTTGGCCACGCGGCGTGTGGCGGGGGAGGGGGTGGTTCAAGGGGATGGACTCCGAGGCTGGGGGCTCGCAGACCGGAGCCGCTCCGCCGGGAACATCCTCGATGAGTCAGATCCCGGTCGGCGGCCGCCGGGGGCGAGAGGAGCCCAGTCCTGGAGTGGCGCGGGGCAGACGGGAGAAAGCAGGGAGACAGGAGGGTAAGGTGCCTGCAGGAGTCAGGGAGCAGTGCAGCATAAACCGAAGCTCACAAAGTCCATCTGCGTCTGGCCACATGCTGCTCGCCCGGCGAGAATATCCTTCTGTCTCTCTCTCTCCCTCTCTCTCTACGAGAGGCAGAGCTCCCTCCTCCCAGCATTTCATCGACAGCAAGCCCTGAGAAAATTGGCTCCTTCCTCCAATTTCTTTAGGAATGCGAGGAGAGAGGGAAGAGAGAAAAAAAATATTAAAAGGAGGGGGACTCTCCAAGAAAGTTCAAGCTTTGCGAGGCACTGCTGCCAAAAACAATGTGGTGACTGAAGCTGCAGACACCGAGAGCTCCATGGAGTGGGGCGGTGGGGAGAGGTGGAGGGGGGGGAGCTGCTGGATTATGACCCTGGGCTGAACACACACACACACACACTTTTGCTCACTTTCATACACACACACACTCACACTCGCTCACTTTCATACA